ATAGCAAAATCAAATACGCGATATCAAGGTATTATCGATAGATTATCATGATAAATCTCACCCGAATATTTCCTCGCACATCGTCTTACTCTTGGCATTCTTTGTAAGAATAATGGTTGGTTGCAAAAAGTATCCGGTAGAGTCATCATATTGTCCACCAGCAATGATTTCACTTTCATCATCCGAATTTGCCCAGTCAATATAACTTTTGATTTTAGCAAACGCTGCTTTGTGACTACATCATGAAGAGCACGTAGAAAGATTAAGTATCAGCCCCAACTGTTGCAGAATAACAACACATGCTCTTACATGACAGGTCCCACGAAACTTAAGAAATCAACGCCTAAAACGACAAATTATAACGTTTAGTAAACCGGCAATAACATGAGAAATTTGTTGTTATTTATAACACGAACCAAAGTCAATCTTCTTGTGCTCCTTCAACAATAAAGTTTTAAACGAGTCCCAAATACTATCAGGCACGTATGTCCTGGAGCATGCCGAACATTTTTGTCCCTGATACTCAAAAGCCGCCCTCAAGGTCTGTAGAACCGCGTTTCTTAAATCAGCGCTCTCGTGAATCATATGAAAGTTCTTTCCACCAGTCTCGCCCACAATTCTCGGGTAGGATCTGTAAACGTCCAAATTCAAATTCTCCCCGATCGTATGCCACATCTTCTTAAATACAGCCGTTGATCCGGTAAAATGCAAAGCGGCGAAATCTGGTGAAGCCAGCACAGTTTTGGTAATCTCGTCAGCAGGACCCGGGATGAATTGTATGACGCCTTTTGGAAGTCCTGCCTCGGCAAGGATCTGATAAAGCAAATAATTAGAATAAATCGCACAGGATGACGGTTTCCATAGAACAACGTTCCCCAATAGTGCAGGTGCACACGGGAGATTACCCCCGATGGCCGTGAAGTTGAAAGGCGCTACTGCGTAAACAAATCCCTCTAATGGACGGTATTCTACTCTGTTCCATACGCCCGGAGAATGTTTGGGCGGTTGTTCAGCGTATATTTCCTGGGCATATTTGGCATTGAATCGTAGAAAGTCGGTTAATTCGGCGATAGCATCGATCTCGGCTTGCCTACGATGAAACAAGTGGAAAAGAAGGAAAGAGTGAAGGGGTGAGCAAATAACAATGATATAATAATAATAATAGCAGTAGGGTTAATGACGGTCATCCCAATACTGATCAATTTTATTATTACCAGATATTCTTTCCCTGTCCCAACATAGTTCTGGCCAACATCTCGTATTTATATTTTCCCGATATCAGCTCAGCAGCTTTAAGAAATATCGCACATCGGCCACTGAACGGCATAGCTTCCCAAGAAGGCTTTGCCTTCAATGCACCTTCGATCGCGTTTTTAATTGTTGCAGCATCCGCTCGTTGATACTCTACGACAACTTTTTTGTGATCCCATGGATTGGGTTGTCTGGCGACGGAGTGGGTGGTATTTACCTATGTGTGGATTATTATTAGATAGTAAGCGCGTATTCTGATCGATTGAAGACACGGCGCAAATTAGGATTTACCTCTTCGCCATTAACCACGACAGGAACAGTCACTGTCTCTTTGGAAAGTCTTGCCAAGGTTGCTTCAAGCGCATTGCGCTCCGGACTGCCGAGAGCATATGTACTCTAGCGGAAATTTATTTGATTTCAGTTACTCAAACGCTTTTAGCCACATAAGCACTAGATCGCTTACCAGCTTCTCGTTATCGATTGCGGGTAAATTGAATGTACCAAGTGTTGCTACAGACATGATTAGGGAAGGGGGGGGTTATGGGGGGAAGAGGGGGGTAATTATACTTGGGATTTTTTTGCTGATCGTCAAAACGAAATTTCCCAGAACCCGTTTTTGATCATGACATTTAATATTCGCACGCTTTTAAAATTTAAGGGGTACGCTGTTGATCAACATGGGAATAGTGTGGATTCCCAACTTGGTCGTAACTCCACAGTGATGCAGCATAATCTTGATTGTATTTGATTCCTATCGGGAGATCTGTTGATCGTAAGTAGAAGTATCCATTAATGGAAACACAATAAGTGGACGTATTCATTATATTCACATATAGCGATGACGACTTTGATTGTCTCAAGGGTTACATCTGATAACAATCGTACTTGTAAACCACGTGATAATCGGTAAAGAATACAGCCAAAATTGGCAATAACCAATATGTTGATTCTATGTAACCGTCGAACAGATTTGTCATACATCTTTTCTTATGCCCCTGCAATGACTTATCTAATACAATCACGCTAGTCTTCATTCGTCTTGTATACTAGGTACCACTTTTCCCTCATGACTATTACTATCGATTGTTGAATAATAAAGTATTAAAAGTGAACAAGCCCCAAAATCTGACGAATAAACCTGCAAAGCAGTCTAATAAAAGACTACGACAGCCCTCTAACCGTTGTGCTAAAATACTGTAGTTCTGAGCCCGATGCCTATCAGACAATTTAGTGTTTGATTTCATATCATTTAGTTATCGGAGTTATAACTTATAATAGTAATCCTGTGCTTCCTCCTACTTTTTTTTGTTTACAAAAGCCGACATTGTACACACAGCACCTTAGCACGTTCATGTTCAAGCTGTGTGACTGAACAATATATATAGGGAGTAAAATAGGAAATCTGATACGTGTGAATACTGATATCTATCCGCTACTGGTAATGTCTTGGCCAGTATAAAGACAAGAGCTTTAAATAAACAATTATAAGCATAGTATAAATTACAAATCTTAGAGATAGAATTTTATCTTGCAGCAAATACGTTTGCAATTGGTAAACACTTTGCACTAGTATTTAAGTTATATGCTACAGGTGCGCTCAACATTCGTTTATTTACGGATTGTGCGACACGTTGCCGGTTCCGTTGTAGGCATTTTCGACAATAACACATTGTAATCAAAAACACGTTCCAGCGATGTGCTCACTTGTCCGAAAGACAAGATGCACTTGTTTGTTTGTACTTTTTCTTACTTTCACTTTCAATTTTTGTTTAGATTCATATGTCATCTGCTCTTGATGTGATGCTATGAACTGTTCTTTCAGAAAAGTCACAAAAGTAAAATAGTTACATTCTTTTTCTTTCTAGTGATCCGCTAGCGTTATTGCGTGAATGTTCTAGCAACAATTGTCACCTTACAAATCATAAGCGAAAGCAGCGTAGAGTTCTATAAGAAATGATTACCAAATTGCCAATTGAGCAAATAGTTCACATAAGCTGCGATTAATAAATTTCGTGGAGGTTCGTTTTGTATCACCCAGTTAGATTACCAATCAGGTGTCACAAATGACGACATAGTTTACTAATTGAAAATAATTACTAAAAGGCCGGAATTAGTCACACTGTAATAGTAAGATGAAGATGGTATAAATACAGATGCAACGACTAGTCGCAATCCATCCAGCAATCCGAATTTTCAGACACTTTTCAATCAAGCTTGACCCAAATAATCCAAAGACAATGCCAGGAAAAATCGTCATTCGCCCATCGGGAGAACGCGGCCATGCCAATCACGGGTGGCTCAACACTCATCATACATTCTCATTCGCATCGTATTACGACTATCGATATGATGGGTTGGGGAGATTGCGAGTTCTGAATGAAGATATTGTACAACCTAAGACTGGATTCGGAACGCATCCGCACAGAGAATACGAAATATTCTCGTACATTATTAGTGGAGAATTAGAGCATCGAGATTGTAAGTAATTTCGGAATTGTTAAGCAATTAATAACTCTCCATTGTTATCGTTATTATACTGATACTGACCAACCGTTATTACGTGATACAACCAACTAGCAATGGGTAACGTGGAGATCTTAAAGCGTGGCGACCTACAACTAACGGTAGCCGGCACAGGCATTACCCATTCCGAATATAATCAGAACCCGTCACTTCCCGTTCATTTCTTGCAAATCTGGGTGAAACCCGATAACCCTAGACTGACACCGGAATATCACACCAAGAGTTTTTCCGATGAACAGAAACTGAATTCTATTCTTCACATAGTTTCGCCTGTTGACTCGCACGAAGAAAACACCGTCGGCATCCATTCAGACTTTCATTTTTACGCGAGTCTGCTTGAACCTGAAAAGTCGGTTGTTTATAAAGCTAATGGTGAACAAGATGATGAGAGAAAGATCTATATACATAACACAGGAACGGGAGGCGTAATTAAAGTCAACGAAGAGACGGTATTGAACGAAGGCGATGGTGCCTTTGTGACCGAGATCAAAGGAAGTGAAGAGATCGTATTTGAGAGCGTTGGGGATAAGACGGCTGAGTTTGTAATTATTGATCTTTCTTAGAGAGAAGCCAATGTGTTGATGAGAAATAATGATTAAATAATAGCCGGTTGTTTTAACTTATAAGTCTCCCGAATAATAAATCAATCAACAAAATATTTAAATAATTTTTAAGTCGTATTATAATTAATGCTTTCTGTGTTCCCAATTGCATAGAGTGGCAGTTTTTTGTCATTTCGTATTCTAATCATTCCCATCTTTGTGATAAAGCTAATTGAATTACGCGTGGGGATAAGACGCGACAATTGTTCGAAAGTTTCCATCTAACGTCATCATGAGTATAATGATAATAATCACATCGAATCAACTTGATAAGTTTACGTCGTCATTCTTATCTTCTTCGAAATTTCACTCCGCTTGACTAAATACCTCGTTTATCACCATGTCTATCACTCCTATATGCTCCTACAAATACCGCCGTCCTCGACTCAGATATGTAAACTCACCCCCTCCCCCGACGAAATGCCACTTGTTGCTTGTGACTAGCATTATAAGTAAAACCGGCGAAAGGCGGATTGGAAAGCGGTATAACCAACTATAACAGTAATATTCAACTCCTCCTTGGACCATTCGCCGAAACGGAATCAAACAAATAAAAGGAATACTATAGGAATATTTATCTTCCGATTTGACAGACCAAGGCCCTATTCTTTCATCACGTCTTTATCATGGAAGACGCAACACAAAACCAACAACCGACTCCTCTTCTGTCCATAAATTCTACTTTGCATACTCATCAATTCCCGCTTCTCGTTCAAGCACAACCGACTCATCAACCATCCACTGTTTCACTTTCTTCTCAAACAAAGTATGCAGCAGCCTTACCAACCGTTTATCCGCAAAGAACGTCTCTTACGCCAACTCTGAATCAGATCAGTCAGGTCGGATTAAATATCCCTCAAACGCAGTACGTAGCGACCGGATTTGGAAATGATATTACTACTCAAATCGCCGTCAAGCCAAAGAGAAAGCAGGTTAAAAATGCTTGTGGTATGTGCAGGTGTATGACAGACAACACGTTCTCGAATCGAAAAACGAACAACATTTCCTAAACAGGAAATATAAAATTTATGTTTGACAGTCAATTGCCAGAAAGCATGCAAGAAATGCGACGAAGGTCGTCCATGTCAAAGGTGTATCAAATTCGATTTGACCCTGACATGTAAAGATTCTATTCGTAAAGAACGTAAGAAAGGCGTTAAACGTGGGCCGTATCGTAGACGAAGTGGTACAGCCGCGAAAGGCGAGTTACAACCATTCTAGTCAAATTTCATTTATCCGTGTTTAATTAGAATTAATTTCTTTTCATCCAGCCGAGGAAACTGCTTCAAACACGAACTCTCGTTCAAATGAAGTTCCTCAACCTCAATTCATTACTCCTCCAGGATATGTTCCGGTACCAGTCTCTATGATGAGCGGAACTGGTGATAATAATATTAACCCGGTATTCTATTTGCCGCAAGGACAATCACTTCCCCAGGGTATTACTACTCCTATTATGCTCCTTCCTCAATCTTTCATACAAGCTCAACAGCAGCAACAGATATCGCAACACGCGCAACAACAGCAGATATTACAGCCACAACAACTGCAGCCACAGCTTTTAAATCATTCTCTCTTTGGCAAACAATCACAAGTCACAGCTCCATTATTTCTCGTTAACAACACAACAAATCCACTACATCTCACTTCTCACCCATTATCTGCTTCGTCCTCTTATCTTTATCAACCGCTTACAACGCGTCTGACATATCCTGCACAAGACCAATCGCCCAATTCTCATCAACAGACAAGTGTGAGCGCTACTCGGAAATTGTCAACTGATAATGAACTTGTTTATAACATCAGCAATGATGGTAGCAAGACTAACGTAGACGGTGTTATTGGCAGTGGTAATAATAATAATAAGGGATTGGATTTGAACTATTTATCCCAAGTTTGTAGTGATTTGATCAGTCATGGAAACGTAGACAAGGAGGAAACACGCAAAAGCGAGGAAAATGAGAATGAAACAAGGGAACGCGTGGGAAAAGTCGGTACCAGAGAAGAGGAACTTGGTACAGAGGAAATGGATACAGGAACCGTTAATTTCGAACATGAGGGAGGTTGCCAACGCTATATGAAAAAGGAAGTTGTAGTTGACGAGAGCAGTAGTGATGAGTGCGGCTATTACAATACCAACAGCAGCTACAATGTCAGTACTACCACCAATGACAAGATAATCGCGTCAGAAAGTATGCCTTTATCGTCCTCGATTATAGAACCTACTCATTCCATGGCCAAGCGTCAAGATAAAGAGGCTCAGTCCACATCCAACACTGCCAGTACCAATCCGTCTAGTTTCCAACAATTCCCTCAGTTCGCAAATACCCAATCTAGCTTACAAAATCAACAACTCCAGCTTCTGCGTCAGAACATTATACCCACAACGTCCGCCAACATTCAGACTCACATGCCTTCGCTGACGACAGTCTCACAACAGTTTGTTGCCGAGCGATATACTGATAACCTACTATTTGGGCAATCTTCTCAAATGGGAAGATCCGGGTTTGTTACTGCCCATGGTCAATACGTTCAACAGTTACGCTCAACCCCTACACAAACACCAATTTATCTTCACCATCCGTCAGCTGCTTCTACCACGACTTCTAATTTATACCCGCAGTCTTGTACAAATCTATCTTACGCTCAATCTGTCAATTATCAGCAAACTAAACATCCCGACCCAACAATCGATCCAGTGTTATATGAAACTCATCCCAATATGCGCTTGGATCACGTTAACACCCAAACGCAGTCCAATCCGCCAACACGGTCTGATGACCAATTTTCTACTATTCAAACCATCAACCCACATTCGGTTGTTCAAACGCAACCAACTCGAATGCAATATCCAACCCAATTGCATTGTCGCACGGCAAATCAGAACGTGTATGGAGATGCAGAAATGGACACCAGTAGTAGCGATCATGAAAAGCCCACCGAAAAAGACATTAAAACCGATATGGATGTTAATGTTGAAGATACGCTCGTTAACAAAGACGATTCGGGAATGGTAAATGAACAAACCGAACTGATGCCTAATAAGAGAAGTGGAAAGAAGGTTGGTAATAGTATATAAGACTCGTGATGTCGAGGCGAAGAGCAACAAGGAAAGCTTGGTGAAAATGGGGATACGTTGGACGCGGCAACATGAAGAATAAAATGTATTTTTACAAGAGAGGGACGGGTATTTGAATTTCTGGGAATAACTAGGCGGTTATTTGAAAAATCCGTAAGGATTCTGCATGCATGTATGATATGTATAGTAGTATAGCACAAGTCTTGAATAAAGTTTTATAATATCTAATAAAAAGAGAGCAAGTATAAAGACTGATTTCTCGAACATAACGGATGATTATATCCGAGATCTTTGATATTTATTTCACGCAACCTATTCTCCACACTCTCCCACATTTATTTCTCCTCTCCGAAAGATAATAACGCCTTTGTGTGTACTTCATTCTTTAACACCTCGAAATTATTCTTTGCATCTGTAATCCAGGGTCTCTCCGCGTTCTACAATTAGAAGGTAGTCGATTACTATGAATTTGGAGTTTTGGAACAATAAGAATGATAAATTAAAAACATACTTAAAGCAAATATAATTGATACCTAAAAATAAACAATTACTTAGTGATAATTGATAAATACCACGTGATCAGATTGGGTTTTTTCTACAACTTGAAAATATACTCAATTAAGTTCTTTTTTGAAAAATTTTATTAAATTTTATAATAATTTTGGTTTCTCAACCTTTACAAATATGATAACGCTTCTTTTGCGCTTTTGAATGAATATAAATTTGTGTAAATTTATATGTGGATTAATTTTCAAACATTCGAGTCGCATACCCTAAGTTTAACGTCTTTCGTTGAATAAACGTCGGCTCTAGGTAAATTCGTAATTTTACTATCCAGCATATTAATATTGTAATTTTTCGTGTAATATGTTGCCTATAAAGTGCGCTAAGTTCAGTATTAATTTCATAGTAATTGCATTGCTCGTTATGCCAATATTAATATTTTCATTTAGTCGCAAATTTAAGAAGTGGTTGGTGACTTTTGAGACGGGAGTGTACAGTCATACCTTGCTTATATCCCCTCTTTGGGACGGGCATTTTTTGAAATATATCTGAGGTGGGATACAAATGAGGTAGCATAAATCATTCGTTTAAAAACATGCACTTCTATCACTATCTATTGGTTAATAAATTCGGTTAATGAAATTTAGCGTTAGCCTTTTCTACAAACTCATCTAAGCGTCGAATTATATTACGTATATATTCAACATCATTTTCTGTTGTAAAATCTCTTTGTTCTAAGAACTTTTTAACTATATCAAGTGCCTGTCTTCCCGTTCGCACAGAAATAGTTGTTTCCTCCTCGTCACTTGACATGTTTGCGGAACTATCTATATTAAAATTGATTTTAATGATTAATTCAAATAAGGATTTATTTTTTAATATCGGGAAGGTTAAGCAATACACGCTTTTATATTAATATATAGTTGAAAACTATGATCTTGGCTTACATGTTGTTTGGTTTGCTAAAAGTGGGGATCGTCTTTCAGCACGGTTTGATATTATCAACATTTCGAGAAATGTGGCAATGATTGTATGGAACGTAAAAATAGAAACGACATGGCAGTTTGTGCAATAGTATCATATATAGTAAATTAGGGTATTAATATTAATAGATTACTATATGACATGGGAATTTGGGACAGCAAAATATATGGGAAAGAGTATGTGGAGAGTATGGGGGACTGACACTTGTATCCAAAGGTCTGTTAAATTAAGATTTCTAGGTTATCTCAATTTCCGACGCGGTGGTACTTGAGAGAGTGGTGGAAGGATTGGTGAGTTTTGGTTTTTTGGTGGTGGGTGACTGCTTCGGACATTAGTAGCCCGTAAGGCGTTTCCTCTTGTTAACTTGCTAGGTATTTTGGCATTGAAAACAACCGCGTTTTTGTAATGTAATTTTCTTTCTATGTATGCATGTTTTATATACTTTATTACATAAAGGATAGAAAAAACGCCTTAGCTTATTATTTTTTATGTGGCTTCAAAAGGTAACTGTACTACATCAATTCTGTTAATTGGACATAAAAATGCTGTACCAGACTGAGAAACTATTTCTTCCTGACAGAATACTTAAAGTACATTTTTTGACAAACAATAGCAAATAACATTTATTCTTTTTAACATAAACTCAATGCAAAGTGATTACACATGTTATTTTAAATGGCCATACTAAAACTGCTTAACAAGATCTTTTTCCTAATACTAAATACCATCTTTATACAACTCAACCTTCTCCCTTATTTTTTTCTTTACTTCTGACCCATTTTCATAAAAAGTATACACCTTACTTCGTGCTTTACTGTATCCCTGTTCAGCTGCTCTTTCATATAACTCAAGTGCCTTTTTAATATCTGCTTTCACCCCAATTCCATTTTCATAATACAGGCCAAGAACATATTGTGCATAAGGATTTCCTCTATTAGCTACTGATTGACACAGTCCAGTTACATTATTAATGTCAAAATCTACTTCAGCCAGTTTGCTACAATGTTTATTGCTTTTAACTTGTATTGACAAATGTGCTTGTTTTACTCCACTATTATATAACTCAACTGCTTTTTGATCATCTTTTTCTACTCCAGTTCCATTTTCATAACATAAAGCAAGATTAAATTGAGCACCAGCAACTCCTTGTTCAGCTGCTTTTCTATACCATTCAAATGCTTTTTGATCATCTTTTTCTACTCCAATTCCATTTTCATAACTATTAGCAAGATTATATTGAGCACTGGAATCTCCTTGTTCAGCTGCTTTTCTATACCATTCAACTGTTTTTTGATCATCTTTTTCTACTCCAGTTCCATTCTTATAACATAAAGCAAGATTATATTGAGCATTGGCAACTCCTTGTTCTGCTGCTTTTCTATACCATTCAACTGCTTTTTGTTCATCTTTTTCTACTCCAGTTCCATTTTTGTAACATAAAGCAAGATTACATTGAGCATTGGCTTCTCCTTGTTCAGCTGCTTTTTTATACCATTCAACTGCTTTTTGCTCATCTTTTTCTACTCCAGTTCCATCAGCATAACATACAGCAAGGTTATATTGTGCATTGGCATTTCCTTGTCCATCTGCTCTGTGCGTGTTGGTTCCCTTTTTCCTTCTAGTATAACAATGCATGAGTATGCATAGTGGAAAAAATTTTTTCGGCATAGAATCAGTGTTATTAAATTTTCACCCAATGTATGCAAATGTATATTGGTATGTTAGATGTCAACGACAAGACTGAGAACGGCGATTTGATCTGCGGTACTGAGATAGAGTAGTACAGGATGATTATCATTTCGATCTTTGTATTATTATTAGCTGCGGAGTATAGAAATTGGTTCTAAATATACGACTCCTTGGTCTGAAAATAATTTCTAACTCTTATTCTCAAAAATAAACTAACTACCGATAAGTGAAACCGTCCCTTAATATTAATATGATCGATCTCCCTGAAATCAACCTCGGTATATGGAATTTAATAATGATGTTACCTCTTCGATCGTATGTTAAGTGAGAAAGCGCCATAGCGAAATATTATTTGTTATAGTTATCCAACCATTATTTTATGTTTATTAACAACGTTCTATCAAGGACATACACTAGAGATAATAATATTTCTCTTTCACCTAACACCATCGGTAGCCTTTATGTTGGTCAAGAAAGTTATTAAATGTTCGCCACGAGGAAATACATAATAATAGTGAAAAACCAGTCCGACGGAAAGACTCGCCCCACACCGCGGCTCGGGAGCAGTACCACAATAGGGTTGGAATAAGGAGTTTTTGCTACAAGTAATAATGTTGACACAACATTATTAAGTTTTATTCTTAGCGAACGTACTCATTTACGAACGCTTTTACTTTATTCTCAAACATGATCTTTCCCAACGAACTAATATGTCCGTAATAGAGCTTTATTTCATTATAGCCTTTATTATCGTTAGCGGAAGTCTTATAGTTAACCAACTTCCATATTGCTACGTTTTTATCGTTCTGCTCCTTCACGATAGTCGCTTCAAGAGACTTAAGAACGATACTGCATTATAATTTATCCTTTCATTCGAACTGATCGTTTTCAATAATGAATTGCTTGCAATAAGTTAACACGAAAGGCTAAATGAGGTTTCATTATGCATTAAATTCTAACGATGTTATGTTACTATGAGTTACTTGACTATTCCATTGTGATGGCATTACCGCTCGACGCCAAGCGAAGAGTATTATAACATCACTGAACTAAGTTGTGTCGGAGTTATGCTTCTCTGCGCTTAGAAGGAATAGCGCATTCGCCTAGACATGTGGTCATCGTGGCGAGTTATAATTGTAGATGGCTATTACGAGAATGGTTTGTATAATCGTTAACCACACAGTGCCCAATCATGAAGCGATACTGAAATGTTACACGTATTCTGACACATAAAGATCAGAATAGCCATCGCGGCCAAGAATACGAATTGCATCTACTTTACACATTATGGAAGTAATTCAGTAAGTTGGAAGTTAGCTGGCAAACACTTTTTGACGCTCTGTTGTAGAAGACTTTCCGTTTCTATTATCAAAAGCGAGCGTTTGAACAAGATGTCTATGCCTACTATCAATATCAGTACTGAGCAACATGGCGCTTCCATTGTATCCGATACCAAGTTCGAGCAAAAACCTGGATGTAGGTGGGAAAGTTTTATGCCACAAACATTACAATAAGTTGCTAGCTATTCATAAAGAAGTCAGAATGTAATGCATATTCTCATCTTCAAGGAATGATTGATCAAACTTGTTTATTAGAATCTCAAGTTGTTTCTTCTGTTATACGTTCAAATCTAAAGTTTATGACCTCCGACACTTGGAATTCAAGTTGATATACTACATTCTACTTCGACTCTTCGTTAATTAAATTTAACAAAACATCGTTAGCTGGCTTCATTCCTGCGTCTCAAGTTCCCTTATCTTTTTAGCCATAATTGAATGCTTTCTAATGCGTCTTAGTCTCTCCAGTTCTGATCAAATCCGGTGATGGCTTGGCCAATTAGATCTTCTTTCTGCAACTCATTCATTCACATCATTCGCAGTATGAATGGGGGCATTGTCATCTTGACTGATATAATGGTAATAAATAAGTTTAGGAATAAAGGATATATAAAAAACGATACAATTTGCATAACAATAACATTAATATTCGCGTAAGATGATTTGCCAGTCGTTTGTCGACTAATTAGCCAAGTTTCATATAAAATTTGTTGTCACACCATTAATCAATAATTCGTTAATTCGGACGATGGCCTCGGAAAGTTGGTGTCCGAATTGAAGGCAGTTGACTGTATTTCGTCAATCTGTGCAATTAGTAGCTGCTCAACTACTCTTGCGAGCCGCTGAAAAAATATATTAGATTTAGCCGAAAATGAGGAGCAATTAGCAAAAATGGGGAATCGTGGAGAACTAGGACTTTTTGCTCAACTCTTTACAATTGCTCAGAAGGCAGTTGAACGACGAAACCAGAACGAACAACACGATGCAGCCACAGGAAAGTTGCGACCACTTTTCATTCATCGCTGCAAAAATCCACGAACTTGATGCAAAAAAAGAAAGAAGATCTTCCTGTGGACTATTATTGGCATTCCATCTGGAACGATTTTCTCAAGAATGGAGGATTCTTGTTTACTAATGTTAATGCAGAGCTCTCTCATGCTAAAGTCCATTACCTCCCCGCTAACACTACTGCACATTTGCAGCCATGCGATGCTGGTATTATAAATTTATTCAAGTATCATGTCAATAATAAGAAACAATCAATGCTAGACGGTTTTGTTATCAGAATGTAGTTGTTTTTTCTTTTCAATAAAGACGAATACCTAACAACTAGATAATTTCTTGTATAGCGATATTTTTTTCGTAACCATTATGTTATCGCTATAAAGAAGTATTGTTATATCCAGTTCTGACTGTAGCTAATTGTTAGATTTTTATGGGCAGTTAGCACAAGTGGCGAATTTGGTAGAAACTGGTACTTTGAAAAGATATATAAGAAGCGCGACTTTCCGATAGAATTAATCATGTTCCAAAATATTCCTTTCTTATACTCTGAAATACGTTATTAGGATTTGTTCTCTGGTAAATTGCGATATAGTTTGTAAAGCGTTTAATCCCTATAGTCCCGCTTATACTCTCGTGGCAATTACGATAAATACCGCAGTTTAGCAACGCGTTGCGTTATGCAAGACCAGATCACTAGAATTAATCCCCCATAGTCGTAATCGATCAGCGACGATATTTATTGAGGATTAGCGTCTGTAAGACGAGTATTCAGACTCCGAGGGTAAAGCCTGAAATTAAGGGTCACTAACTGTTATTATATTTAACTGAGTACACCTCCGTGAAAATCCCAAATGTCGATAGTTATCCGCTCTTCGGCGCGACGATCACAATAAGTCAATCTATAACCTAGCCAAAGCAAACAGATGTCTGACACATCACGATTTATTAAGTAAATAGTATTTGATTTATAACATTTTTGCTGGATTCATCGCGTAGTTGTTGGGGTTTTTTAGGAAAACAACGCAATTGCTGCTCTTAAGCAGATCCTGGCATAAGCTCCCAGTAATAAGGTTTGCTGTATCGATTGAGGATTTGGCATAATAATGCACACGAAAGATAGCAGGCATTCTTCTGGGACAATTCTACTTAGGATGCCCAATCGATCGCTACTAATGAATAAGAAATTCATTATAGGGGTGTTCTTTGGATTGGCATGGTATATAAGTTCCTGATGTAAAGCTGTGTTGGGATTAAGTAAATGTTCATTTACTTGCGAAAATTATTATCCAGAGTTTATTTGCAGTTTACACTAGTCTATTGACAATATCCATATGTTTAATCACTTTATGAATCCTTTTTATCAAACTGATTTGACACTTAACCCCTTCGTGCGAACGTTACTTTCATCTCCTTATCAACGGTAAGTTTGAATCCATTCAATACATCCTTGGCAACAGCAGCTTGATGACCAGCTTCATACTCCACAAACGCAATATCCGTTCTACCAGGTACAAGACGCACTTCTTTAAACCCAGGATATCTAGGTAATCAAGAAAAATAATTAGTCGCCGAATTCTGACAAGATCCGTTTATTAAACAGGAAAAGAAAACATATACATACTGTTGGAATAAGCAGCTCAACATTTCATCGGTGACATCAGAAGGAAGGTTTTGTATGTACAGAATCCTGTTAATTGGTTCGTGTTCGTCTTTGGACAAGGTTGGTTCTGGCCCTTCGTCTTCTTCCATTTGTTCTGTGTTGTATGCACGTTAGGCTGAATGAGTGGTTTCGCTATCTCATCCATATAGCTAACTGAACAGATAGGCTTACCAGGTTCTGGTGATTCTTCTTGTCCTCGCCCTCCGTTAGGTCTTTGTATAATCTCTAATAAAAAGGGAAAAATGTACGTAGCATAACGTCAATTACATGTCGAATGTTAGTATAATGACAAGTAAAATAACAAACTTATCAATTGATTTAGTCTGTCCCCCAATTAAAAATGCTCCCAGTCAACAAATATCCGTTCACCGAAACAACGCTTACCTTCATCTTTCCTCGTCATCGATGCGGGTGCAGCCATTGACGCTGAAGTAGCGGTTAATGGTCCCCTCTGTACCGTCGACAATCCAGGTTTCTTCCATGTCCCATCCATTTTTGCAATAACATCTGACTTGCCCTTTGCATAATCAATTTGCTAAGTAACACCACACACGAGGGCCGTCATGCAACCAACAACGAAATAAGGTAGAAGCAAAAGCACAGATTCGTCAGCTTTGTTCGATCATTTGAAAATCAAAAAGTTTGAATCTCTCATATTTCCCCTTCAGTTCCCATTACTTGGCAGAAACTCCTGAAGGGCAGGATATAATTCATAGTGAGAAAGGGGGGAGTTGGGGTTGGGGTTTAATTGTTTGGCGATTGAAGACAAGAAAGGGAAAAAAGAAAAGAGGGGACTTATCAGCCTCGGTTACGAATAGATCAAGATTTGTCGTTTAAAAAAAAATACCGTGACCCAAGGTATTTTAACTAATAGTACTAAAAGTAATAATGCAATGCAGTCATAGTATTATCTTACCATTGGCTTGGAGTAGAACATAAACCCTTGTAAAGCTCTCATGGCGGCTGTGGCAGACTGGATCTCTTTAAAGACAATAAATGCTTGCCCGCGCATTTTTATTGTTTTTAGAGCTACTATATCTAGTATTTTGCCATATCTTTGAAATAAGCAGTACAGCGAAAGTTTCAACTCTACACAAGTTTGTGGAATGCAAGTTAGAAATCGTAAACGCGTTCCTGCCAATACAGCCGTTTAGAGAGAAACTTCGCAGAATCCACGACAATGCAGGGAAAGACGAAACCATATTAAAAGATGAATACCATTTTTTGGGATCTTTTCCGGTAAGTTTCTACAGTACAAAGTCTGATTCGGTAGGAGAGACATTTGGGTGTTCTTTAAACAGTGCGAGAGTTGATAGTAATAGTTGACATGCAGTATTTCATTTTTTTACTAAACATGTGCATTCGTGTGATACAGATACTGCTGTTAAAATTATGTCCATTTATGGACTGGGACTAGCATTTCCACACTTTACTAACCACGAAACCGCAATGGCCTTGAGAAGTCGTACATCGCTTTTCTTGCAATATAGAAACTCGTTTGCAAGATCAAGCGCTGGTATGCCTCTGGTATCAACACCGGGATATAACGCTGAGCGTGCAGGACTGATAGAGAGTTCAGATCATGTCATAGAGCTTTCGGTATTACCGCCTAGGTGGTGAGTATGAGGAAATCGCCAGATGTTCAGACTTTTGAAAGATCAGAGGTTACTTGGGTTGGGTAACTAACTGAAACTTTGCCGATCTGTCGTCGACGTTACTTAGGGTGGACATTGTTGACGAAGTTGACGAAGACATTGAAGCCATGAAAGAAAGAAGTAGGTCTAAAAATTACAAGAACTATGTAAATAACATATGTCACTAACCGGATACTGTGACTAACCGTTAAGACTTTATTAGTTACCAAACTTCAAGCCCTTCATAAGAAACATACTCTGCCCGGATTCGACGATCGAAAAGAAGAGGAAGAAGAGATAGAACACTTGACGGGAGAAATCACAAAAGTAATTCAGATCCTTTTATTTTTCTACCTTTACCCAGATCAAAAGCTCACCATCTAATCACAAACTTTGTTGTAGCTTTTCCATGAATGTCAGCGTAAAATAAGACAAATAGCCAACGAGAGTCGATCATCAGCGGCACAATCTCAAGAGGCGTTAATGAGTAAAAATATTCAAACATCACTCGCTACCAAGTTACAAGAACTTTCATCGAGTTTTCGCAAACAGCAGTCATCGTATATGAAAGGTATTGTGATTTATTTATGAATGAGAAAGTTTAGATTTCGCATGCCCTGTCCAGTTTTTATGCCGCAAGATTTTGTTTGTTGTCATTCTAATGTATTCCTCGCCGTTTGCAGAGTTGAAAGGCAGAGAATCACGAAGCCCAGCTTTCTTCTCAACATCAAGCCGAGACTCATCAGAAGAGGATTTAGAACTGGTACGCACAAGATTGGATGTCCCATTTTAATCATTGTGAAGCTTAGATATATTATTTAATACAATGGCCGTCATGATCTATGTTTAGGTATTTACCGCAGCACAACTTGCTGTTGTAGAATCGTCAGAAACAATTATTTCACAGCGAGAGCGAGAGATAAATGAAATCGCAAAGTCAATATATGAGCTTGCAGAAATATTTAAGGACCTGCAGACACTTGTAATAGACCAGGGTACATTACTGGATCGTATTGATTATAACGTTGAGCAGATGAACGTCAATGTTATATCGGCAGCGAGAGAGCTTGACGAGGTAAGCTACGGGGCGTAGAGGTTGTAATGTAGACAGCTTGTTCGAAAATTGTACGTGCTCACCGATTTACTTGATATATTTTACAGGGAGAGAAGTATCAGAAGAAATCTCGCAATCGTAAAATAATTCTTCTATTACTATTAATAATTTTTGGTCTGATTATCATTCTTATATTTAAACCTCGATAGTTATAATTGCTTACTTTACGATTTATAGAATAATATATTTGTAAAATAATTTAAAAGTATAGAATAAGTTTGCTTAAATATTATTTTAGTGTACTTTAATAAATTCAATAAGATGTAGTAGTGAATGTGTGAGGGGCCACCGAAGGAACCCAAAATACACATTTGTTCTTAAAGAGCAAAAAGAATTACAAACCGATTTATTATATTTCATTCCGAAGAACTCGATAAAAACTGGGAAACGTAATGTCCCAAGCGCAAGCCATAAACACGGCGCGCATATATTTGCAGAAAGTTACGAATTTTTTATCATGCAATTAAAATCTGTATTTGATTAAGTTCGTGCGATAATTGTTTCATGGCAACACGTCGTGAAATGGGCTATATTAATATTCACAATTAAAGACGCTCAGTATATAGCGACGTGTTGTAAGAAGGCTATATGACTAAGACATCGAACTAGATATGATAAAGATTATTTAATTAATATTGACAAGCATAAGTCCAGCGATAAAACTTGACAAAACTTAAAAGGAAAATTTGTCATCAGCGCCCAATTCATTCATAAATGGACAAGACGCTCTTCCAGCATAGTCCCGTATTTGCTTCAATAATCTTAGCATCTCTACACAAATGTAAAGCAAACAATGTTGTGTTTTCGTGCGTGACCAAATATCATAGCAGTAATTGAAACTGATTTTGCGAATCATTTGTTCGTTGATATTGTTGTATGTCAGATCCGAATAATACAGAGAATCAGTAACAATATTACCTTATAACTACATATGTACAGTACATGGTTAATACTGATGCAAAATTTGGGAGGTGGCGGAGAGCGGGCGGTGCAGTTGACCAACAGCATCGCAATAAATTTGATGTATCAAAACTTTTTGGGACTCGTATGATGTTATTGACATATACAATTAAAAACATCAGTCACTACCTACTACATAAATTAGCTAGATAATTTGAGATATTCACTAACTCTAATAGTAATGACATTTGAAATCGTGGCTTATAATATGTAACTAAACACCCGTAAAATCTTTTACGTCCAGATATTTAAAGTAGGATGTTCATGTGTTATTAGATGCATGTTGTTACTTCACGCGATGTTTGTTGAGTTTTCGAGGTCTTTATTGATGTTTGTTGATATATCAATATTAATTACGATTCTGCCGTCTCATAACCAAGCGTCGAAGACCCTCTTCTGGTCCGGATTGGACTTTGCTATCCTAGTACGCTTGCTCGGGTAATATTAAAAAGTCGACAAGTACGTGTAATTACTTTTCGCCAGCATAGGGTTGCTCGCCTGATATTAAAATGTTTGATGTTTAATGACAGAAAAAATCCGTCAACCATGAGACGTTCGATACGTCTTCATTGGGATTGGTGTTCTCAATTTGCATGGAGCTGCTTGACTCAGTTTCGGGACACGGTGATATTTGAGTGGTGTTGGAAGATTGGTTTTTGTGGGAGGTGACTGTTCTGCGATGGATGCTTCGGACAATAATAGCCCGGCGAGACGACTGAATAATAAATGTTGCATGTTGTTGCGTGTTGCAATTTGCAATATAATATTGTTATATAGAGCTCCACTGCGCGGCAAGGCGTTGACGGGCGGCCAACGATCGTATGGCATGTACTTTTTGGAGTACTATTTTCACCGTTCTTCTGGCCAGCGGCGCCTTCAATGCTTGTTCGAGAGCCAATATTATAAACTGTGCGATTTAATAGATGTTTGATTTTGTTGAATGAAAGATTGTTACTGTAAAGGGTTGATATGTACCGCCCCTCCTGTATTGGTTTTAATGTATCATACTGTGTACCAACAGAAGTTGGATAATTGTAAAATTTTGTGCTTTTAATCAAGAACCGGGAATTATATCCAAATGACCGTAACCTGAGAAAAATTCTCTCAGTTCAGTCAAAGTAGCAACAGAGGGTCGTGAATTGCTAACTTTTAAGTTGTGGCCTATTTCGAATTGTAAAATTTTGTGCCGAAAAATCGTTTTCAATCAAGAATCGGTAATTACATCCATGAGAAAAATTCTCTCAGTTCAGCCAAAGTAGCAGCAGATGGTCGTAAATTGCTAACTTTTATCCAGTTCACAAAAACACCTCCCGTGATTCTTTTGCCAGTACAAGGCTCTCTTGTTCTCTTGTTCTCTTGTTTTCGATCCGTGTCCCTTTTTTAGACACAAAAGCTGCTTGGTAATCTTGTTTTTGGTTTGGTTGCTTTAAACAAATCCATATTTCCCATGACAATACTTTAAATGTGAATATTAGCTTTTTTTTATGGCTCTTTTTCCTGTCAGATAGGTCTGTTTATAACCATTACGGCTATTAGACTTGATTCACTAAAATGACATTGTATGTACAATGACTTATAAAACATTCTAAACAATTGAGTTGCTACACATTAACATCACACAACGATCATCATACTGTACAACATAGCATGTCGATTTACAGTGAATTACGTCATTATACAATTTATCCTTCAACCACAGCAATGTATAAGGCTGTAGACAAAAGCATCAAACAATGAATTACACAATGTATCGACATCATTATCAAATTAGTATACATACGAGTCTTTCGATAGATCAAGTATATTGTCATGACGCAAGCTTGTTAAGACAATTTGTAGAACGAGATTAAAATATTTTGAACCCATCGAACACTAATTTATACAGAGAACGTACGTGTATGGATTATCAGTTTTTAATTCGCTATAGCACAATGATAATATTATCACCATCTGAACCGTCAAATACCAGCGTCATTCATAGAATTGTCTTTTTGCTCTTCTGGACCGTTTTCCTAGATGACATAGCGTAGTTTATCCATGTACTAATTTTTGAGTTCGGCCATAAAATAATAAGTCTTTTGCCTTTTTCTTTCAAAGAAATGTAGTCTCTTTGACATTTGCGATTTCTCGGCGATGGCTATATTGCTGATATTGAAATTAGGCCAGCTTGTGACACATTCTCTGATGTACTAAATTTATATTGTGCAGCAGATTTTATATGAAACAAGGTTGGCCATAAATGTCAATCAATAAAAATAACTACAAGTTCTTTAGCATCTGTTGGCATTATTATTTCCATTTATT